TTTCCTATCTCACACACTGCCCTTGCCTCCTTTCGGGTGACTGCAGTCTTACCAACTTCCTTACATGCAGTCAAAACAGAGCTGCAAAGACAGTGGCATAGCATGACGTGCCCCTTGTTTTAAGGGGCTAGATCCAAGAAAGGACTTAAGATGGCTTTAGGTGCCTAAGTATAAAACTGCCATCTCCATCCCCACTAAACTAACTCAGCCTCTGCTGGCTGGACGTGAAAGCTCGCCAAGCATCCAGAGTTCTGCTCCTGAGTATGCCCAGGCTATCCCAATCTAAGCACCTTGCTCCTACCTAATCCACATCAGGATCCAGATGTTAGGTGGAGTGTTACTCAAGTCACTTAAAAGGTCCAGTCCAGTTTGTGCTTGAGCAGGAGGGGCTCAAGTGAGGGCCTCAAACCTCTTGGTATATCTTGTATGTGGCTCTGAGACCCCTGAGCAAGCTAAGCCCCTCATAGGGATTTGGTGATGCTCTGCCTTCTTCCTAAATCCTCATAAAAATATGGCCACTGAACTGTCCAGACTGGGATAGTTCTGGTCATACACAGAAGCCAAACTGCAGACACTTAGAGAGGTTTATAGTCAAACAAAGAGGAGTCTTGTGAGTTTAAGCATCTTCGGGGTATGGGACAGCTCAGCAGGGGTGTCCTAGGTTGTAGTTTTGGCATTAGGAGACTCAGTTCTATGTAAGTCCTACTTTAGGTGCCTACGTCACTGACTGGACCAAGTCTTAAATACGTGCTGAAACCAAGGAAATAATTCAGTGGGAGTTTATTTCAGCAGAGGCTGGATTGGACCCTGTAAGGTGAGCAATGTGAGACTTGGAAGATTTGCATGGGAGAGGGTCTGGATCAAATCCAAACCTCCTCACATTTCCAAGGTGTGTGTTTGGATCTAGGATTTCATCTCTGTTTGCAACATCAGTGAGAGAGGATAATTATTTAGGGCCCATTATTTACATTTAGATCTAGCGTTTCAAATTTCAGGGTGGTGTATTTGGGTCTGGAGTTTCATCACTGTTCAAAACATCAAGGAGGGAGAATAGTTATCTACAGTTCATTACCCAGGGATCCAGAGTTTCAACGCAGATCCCTCTCATTTTAATCAGGCAACTTTGATTCATCTTGTGTTTTAATCTTACTCATTTCCCCACAGCCTAGAACAAGCCTCTGTAACATACTTCACATGAAGCAAATTAGATAATGAAACAACATGCATTTAAAAATGTAAAATCAAAACTCCTGCCCAACCAGATCTTGCTTGCAGCAAAAACTGTTTACACACTGTTCCGAAAACCCTGCTAACCACAATTGCTTATTAACCACTCTTTCTTTTGCCTTCTTGTATTTGTCCTTCTTGTTAAAGCCATTGGGAAGCTATTTATTTACAATTTACAAGCTAAGCTAAGCTAGTGAGTTTTTCATGTGACAACATCTTGTTCTCTTTTTGTCCAGATTTCCTGGAAAGACATCGCTACTCACAGATGTAAAGAATTACTATTCTTTAACATACATTTAGGCCAGGTACAGACATTACACTTTTACCAGTACATGTGATCGGAAACTGGTCTACACCAGTAACAGAGAGAGAGAGAGTGTGTGTGTGTGTGTGTGTGTCCACCTGCCAAAGGGCAAATGTGCATTCTGTTTGCTACCGATGTAAACTACACCACTTACAGAAAACCGTGTAACTTAGATCGATTCTGCCGCAGGCTTTTTGAATGAATGCACCTAGCCATTAAAAATAACTCACTTTTTAAAACTGACTTTGTTCATTTTGATGCAAGAAAAACTACTAGTTTATTTCTAAACCAGGAAGAATCAGGACACAACTTCCCTCTTGAATGCACACAGGATGAGTACAGGCAGAGCACCGGGGTGAATTTCCATTGTCATGCTTTCCAGAGCAGAGTCATTATCCGGAAGGAAAATCACTTGTGTTCCCAGATGATCATTCTGCTATATGTAAGAGGTAAGCAGTTTTATGGATGATATCTTCTCTTGGACTATTGCATGGCTGGGATAGACTTAGACAAGCTTCCACATGTAATGCATTCTTCTTCAGGTCTCATTCTGCTAAAGTTATATCCGTACATCTGTATATCTGTACAAGTCCCTGTTGCAACATTATTGTCCCTTATATTGTCCTCCAGACAGGGGAGAAAACTAAACCAAGGTCTGCCCCTTCCTTGCCCTAATCGCTAATGCAGTCTATAAAAGGGGCCTACCACCAGCAGTGGTTTAATAGGAGGCAACAACAAACTCTGCATTTTGACAGGAGTCCAATCCTGTCAATGCGTGTTAGGTCTATTCCAAAAATACCTACCAGATTGAATCCCTCAGGGGACTTAGGCAGAGGAACATCTAGTTCCTGGATCCTGATCAGGCTTATGCATGAAATAGGTGCCAACCTGCTCAACCTTGACAAACCCGAGGGCTTCGCAGGCTGGTTCAGGGTAGAACTTGGAGGCACTTGGGAATTGTGAAGGTCAAAACCGCGGCCCCCCTGGATGGAAGTGCTTCCAGTTGAGTGAGGTGGCAACTGAGAGGGCAACCTTCAGGTTAATAACTTTGGATTCAGCCAACTACCATCTGCCTTTTGGTCCTTATTTACCATGGATCTAATCCATAGTCTCTCCCTGCCATGGTCTCCACCTGTCAAACAAGTATAATAGTGCAACCCGCTGGTGAGCTTGGCCATAATGGGCTGGTTTCCTTGTAGAGCGAATTCCAGGAGAGGATATGTCAAGCATATAATATTCACACTAGAGTACAGGCAAAACTGATCAAGCTCTGGCAAACCCAGGCAGTTTCATCCTTCTGCCAGTGCTGATATGAGCACAAACAAGGATCTACTTTTTTACTTTTAAAAATGTCTGTTTCTATATAAACCGTGTGCAGCCCCAGAGCCATAGGAATTTCATTGTTTTTATTCATTCTCTGTCTTGCAGCAGGTTGGCAGCTTCGTCATAAACTAGGGCCCTGTTTTGCTAGCCACTGTATTCAAGGCATAATGCAAAGATGGTCCCCTAGCCTCAGAGGGTTAAGAGAAGGGGTGAGCAAAATATGGTCCGTGGGCCATATCCGGCCTGCCAATTGATTCTACCTGGCCTGCAGGCAGGCAGCACGGGCGGTGGCTCTGGCCTCTGCGGACACTGCAGGAGATGCTGTGCAGAAACTGCCTTGTCTGCCCTCCTGGCTCTGTGCAGCAGGCCCTGGGTGAGCTGTGTTTGGGCCCCAGCACTCCTGCTTGGGCTGGGCCGGTGGTGGCCCACCTGCCTGCAACTCAGAGCTGGCAGGAGCCACCCCCGGTGCTAGGACCATGTGGTGGGGGCTCTATACCTGGAGGTGAGAAAGTTTCCCTGGTGAAGTCCCAATCCCAGCCTCAGTCCTAGCCCCAGCCAGCTTGACATGTTCTGTTCAACTCCATTTAAATTCATAGAAAGACTCCCAGTGCAGAGCTATGTAATGTATTAGTGATCCCCAAGCTTTGCACCCTTGGACAGCAATTCCAGGTAATTTTGTGCTGGCAACATCACACCCTGATATTCCTGTCCACCACAGTAGAAACGTTTTAATTTCCCAGGGCCATGAGTGACAACAGAGGATCTTGCAGGCAACATGAATAGGATAAGGCCCATAGATGTGGTTGCGGACTACTACATGATGTTGTATGGGGGTTTTTTTCACAACTAAGCACCTCAACATAGCTGTGCCAGCAATGCCAGGGGATAAAGCTCTGACCATTCAGTGGTAAAACTCACCTATTGATTCTTTTAGGAGCAGGATCAAGCCCTTTTGTTTTTAAACAGGGTTTTGCTGAGCACGTATTAGTTGCAGTTAGTCATTAAATAGATTCACCTGACGATCATTCTACTACACAGAGTTCGTGCTTCATGCTGTTCTGGAAAGGGATGTCTGTTTGTAACTCGGCAGCCTGTGCCATCTGCAATAAAAGTCTGCCCTTCAGCATGGTTGCATAAGAATCATTGAGAGCAGTTATTGACATTTTTTAAAGCTTAGACATGTCTTTAATTTGCAGGCCATAAACATAACAAAACAAATTCTGGTGCCAAAACTCAGTTATTTACTTCCCAAGGCTAAGCACAGACATTCAGAAAGCCCGAGGCAGAATTGATCCAATCTGCATGGGTGTCTCTAAGCTGCATAGATTTGATGGTGAGTGAATGAAACTCGTGTCTGCTCTTTGGTTGGGGGAGGCAGGCAGATGCCTGCAGTGGCCAAGGCCAGAAGGCAAGGGGTGATCCTGCATGCCTCCCAGCCTGCTGGACATTGCAGAGGGCAGCTGAACTATGGCCATCCCTGACTGTCTGCCCAGCACGTGCCCCCAGTGCCCTGCTGTCAGCTGTAGGGAGGGGGAGAAGCCAGCACAGAATCTGTCCCCATCTCCACTGCAGTGTGGGAGTGGGGGGAAAGCTGAGGCTCCCACTATATGAACAGCTTGGCAGGGAGGGCGCTGCTGTGCCTGCCTGGCTGGGCTGGGCTGCCCAGCCAGCTGGACTACACGTCTGGGCAGGTCCAGCAGTAGAGGAAAAGCCCCTGCCATGCAGGCCACTCAGCTGGGCAGACCCCAGCTCGGGGAGGGCAGGGGGTTGGGACAGGAGGCTCTCTTGCCCTACTGGCCTGCCCTGCTGGCATGTGCAGGCAGGACACAGAGCAGGGGAGCAGGGGCTTTGTTGCCTCAGCTCTGTGCAGCTGGAACAGAAGAGCGCAGGCAGAGGCTAGCCCGCCCATTCTGCGAGGGAGGGGGCTGCTAAGCACCCTGGGATGCCAGGGGACTGCGACTTAACATGAGTTGGGAGGAGATTTGGGACAGAAGTTTGATAGATCGGTCTACTCTAAATTGATTAAATCTGATACTGCGTACATCCAGGTCTATCTTCAACCAGGTTCCATCATTTCTAAACTTGTCCATGTGAACCGAACTTTTGTTCTGTTACAGGTTGAGGCCAGTTTCTAATCACTTATACCAATTTACATGTAATTTCTGTACCTAAACACCTAGGCACCTGTGTTAAAGCATTTGATTGTGAAATGAGCTTTTATAACACAATTGCATAGGTATCCTCTTTCTTGATAATGTGATCCCTGATTGTAACAGTACTGCCCTCCCACTGATTTGCTGACACTGATAATTTAAGGCCCAAATTATTCCACTGACTATAACACAGGTCAGCAAGCTACAGCCCACAGATCCTTTGGATCTGACCCACAGACATGGGCTTCAGTTGCATTTAGTGGGAGTGAGCTTTGAGTGTGGCCAGTCTTTGCATGCTGCTGTGGGGATGAGCATTGGCTGGAAGCGCTCTGTGCCACCACAGAGACAAGAGGAAGCAGCAGCAGGGTCCTTCTGCCTGCCCACCTGCGCCTCTCCAACCTGGGATGGGTCATTCTGGCCCACACATGACAAAGTTTCCTACCCCTAGCCTATGTGTGTTATTCTCAGGACATCATTTGTGACCCACATTGGTGTTCAGATCCACGAAATGACCGAGGAAGGTTAAGATTTTGAGTAACTGCCAGTTTAGCAGATAAGGCCAAAAATGTTCAACGCCCCTGCTCAGCTGTCACCTAACCCATTTGGTTCTTAAAGTTGGTAGGGGTAACTTTATTGAGAGTTTGTAGGGGTAATTGAATTATTGTGGGTTAAGTTCCCTCTGTACCTAAAGGTTTTTTGGGGGGGCATGTCTAGAAGTCATTCGGTCTTTATAGCATTATGCTGTGAGGTACCTATTCCCAGCATAAATGCCACCATATTAAACAAATTAGGCATTCATTTGGATATCCCATAGTGCAGTTCAATCTCATAATTATTCTAAGAGCATTCATAATGGCTTGGGTCCTTATCATGCCCTGTATGCAACATCTCAGTTATTTGTGTACTCCACTGGCATAAGGAAGACCTGGGGTTGAATCCACAAGGCACGTCTAGACGTGCATGGACGTTTGGTTCCCCAGGGACAAGTAGTGGCAGCGTACCTTGCACCACCACTTGTCCGCAGGGAACGCCTGTGCCACACACTTTTGGTGCACAGCAAGTTGGCCCCAGCAGCCCTACCCGGGGTCCTGGGGGCCTCTCGGGGCTGCAGCCGCAGCAATTCTGCCGCATGGAGCCTGGCTGGCAGCGAAGCGCAACTCCAAGTGGCCCAGCTCCACTTTTCAGCAGCACGCACTGGCCAAGTGTGCATTTCACCAGGGGCTGGGGGTTTCCATGGGGTTTTTTTACCCGTGGATATCCACACATCAAAAAAACCCATGGAAAAAAAACCAGGTGCAGCGCACGCTTGGCCAACGCGCCCTTGCATCATGGAAAACATCGAACTGTGTGGCAGAAGGATTTGCTAAGTCAGCTGAGGCAGCTTTGCTTTGCATGTAATAATGAATGAATTCATCAAGACTGGACTGCAGAGTCCGCTGGGTAGACAATTTCTGTTTCTCTGAATATTTTGCTGCTGCATGTGGAATATTTCGTGCACTAAGGTGCTTTTGTGGATCTTGCTGTGAGCATCGGGACTCCTGGATTTTACTTCCAGTTCTTCTCCTAACTCATTGTGGCCTTAGGCAGGCCACTAACTTCCCCATGGCTCAGTTTACATAGCAGTTAATTAGTACAATAAATACCGACATCCCAAGTGTGATGCTTAACTCAGTGTTTGGTAGGATACAGTTGGCACCTTCAGATAAAAGATGACAGTTAATTATAGTTCATACCTGCCAAATAAAAACATACTAGCATGTAATTAGAGTTTCTTGAGTGCAAAGGCCTTGAATAAAAATCAAAGAAGTCTCCAGTGAGGTCAGCCATCAATTGAGCAATGTAGTGCATCACCCTCATACTGCCAAACATGCTCACAGACTGCTCTCTCCCACCACGGACTGCCTTGTACTTTCAGCATGTAAGCATCACCGTGTACACCCCCAACCACTGTAAAATCATATCTGCAACCTTGACTCCAACCAGAGTCAGGTAAGTCCATGCTTAGCTGCTGCTGC